GGTAGTTTCAAACCGCTGACCTTATGGTTCGCAGCCCGATTCGTAACCACTATGCTACCAGAGCTCCTTGCATAGTTGGAACAAATATACTCAGTAACCGGCAGAACCCTCATATTAGATCCCAGAAATGTGGAATAAGGGATATTACAGTAGGAAAAGTCAAGTGGAAGCCATCTGAACTGCCTCTACCCAGGAAAATGGTAAACCAAAAATAACTACAGCAGACGACAACCAGAGATTGACATGCATGACACCACCCACACCCAAAATCCAGTCCAGATATTGAAGTGTTCAGGGTAGAAAACAATTTGTTGTTAGGTGCCATCAAGTCGGTACCGATCCATAGTGACCTTATGCACAGCAGAACGAAACACTGCCCGATCCTGGGCCAACCTCCCTACTGTTGCCACACTTGAGTCCATTGATGCTGCCACTTGGCCAACCCATCTTGTTAGGGGTCTTCCTCTTTTTTCTCTGACCCTCCACCTTGTTGTTGTTGTTAAGTGCCATCGAGTCAGTTCCGACCCATAGCGACCCAGTACAGGGTTTCCAAGGGGTGTAAATCTTTACAGGAGTAGAAAGCCTCATCTTTCTCCCGCGGAGCAGCTGGTAGTTTCAAACCGCTGACCTTAAGGTTCGCAGCCCGATTCGTAACCACTACGCTACCAGAGCTCCACCTTACTAAACATCATATCCTTCTCCAGGGACTGGTGTATCCTGACAATATGTCCGAAGTATGAGAGACGAAGTTTGGCCATAGAAAACAATACTGGACTGAAAATAGGGAATCAGATATGTTTGTCTATGATTGGGACAACTACAAAGTGAACCGAGTGAAGAGTGTTTTTATAGAGATCCAGGTAGACGTCAAAGAAAAATGGAGAAGAAATTAATAAAGTACAGGGTAACCTCAAAAAAGAAACTTAACACACCTTCACATCAAATAAAGAAAAGTAAAATCCATGAAGATTCTATAAACATTAAACTGTGAATAGATTGACAAGAAAAAGCACATACAAAAATGAACAAAACACAGGAAAACATGTGGAACAAAGAATCCAGCAGCACCACAAAAGACACTCAGCCAAGTGACTGAAATCCATTCACATCTACTGATAACTACACTGAACGTCAAGGGATTAAATTCACCAGTCAAGAGGCAGACAGTAGCAGAATGGGTAAAAAAAAGCAGGATCCTTCAATATGCTGTCTGCAAAAGACACCCCTTACACACAAAGGCAAACAGATTAAAAATTAAAGGATGGGGGGGAAATCAAATTAATGGCAATCAAAAGCTAGTAGAGGTGGCAATATTAATCTTTGATAAAATAAACTTTAAGGCAAAAACCAGCATAAGAGACAAAGGAGGACATTATTTCATAATTAAAGGGTCAATTGAACAAGAGGACATAACCATAATAAATATCTATGCTCCCAAAGAACTTCAAAATGCATAAGTCAAGCTCTAATAGAATTGAAGAAAGAAATAGACAACTCTACAATAATAGTGGGCGATGTTAATACACCACTTTCAAAAAGACGGAACAACCAGAAAGAAACTCACAAAAGACATATAAGAACTAAACAACACAATCAACTAACTTGGCCTCATAAATGTGTACAGAGTATTCAACCCAACAACAGCACAATACACAGTCTTTCTAGTGCACAAGGAACATTCCCCAGAATAGACCATGTGTTAGGCCAACAAGCAAGTCTCAACAAATTTAAAAGCATCAAATACTACAAAGCACCTTCTCAGATCACAATGCTATAAAATGAGAAATCTATAGGAAGATCAAGGAAACAAAATCAAATACATGGAAACTGAGAATCATCCTGCTTAAAAGCTACTGGATAATAGAATAAATGAAGAATGAAATTTTAAAAAAACAACAACAAAAAAAACTCCTTGAAGAAAACGAGAATGAAAACACAACATACCAAAACTTTTGGATACAGCAAAAGAAGTGCTAAGAGGGTAATTTATAGCAACAAATGCACATATGGGAAAAGAAAGAACCCAAATCAACACAGCAAGAAAGCATCTCCAACAATTCAAGATCAGAAAAGTAAGCCTACAGGCACCAGAAGAAAACAAGTAATAAAGATTAGAGCAGAAATAAATGAATTAGAAAACAGAAAAACAATAGAAGGAATAAACAAGACAAAAGCTAGTTCTTTGAAAGGATTTATAAAATTGACAAACCATTGGAAAATCTAAGAGAAAACAGTGAGAAGATGCAAATAACATGAATGTGACATCATAACAGAACCAATGGAAATATAAAAGATAATAACAGAACACTATAAAGAGTTGTACTCCAACAAATTCAAAATTGTAGCAGAAATGGATAAATTTTTAGAAAAACATGACCTACATAATCTAACACAGAGTCAAGTAGGAAACTTGAACAGATCTAAACAAAAGAAGAAATTGATTGCCTACTTAAAATGAGGGGGTGATAAAGGCATGAAGTGACTAGCTTACAAGGTTTCATAGGGGAGTTTAGTTTAATAGTGTGTGGGGAAAGAGTCCCCACTGAATAGTTTTCATCTTTTATAGATGGGTCTGGTTAAAAGAGATGGGGATAACATTCTTATGATTCAATAATGAGTAATTGTTATCATGACTAATTGCAACCGTCACAATTGTAAAGTTAGAAGTTTTGTAATAAAAACGGGGGAGTAGTTAATCTTGACCTATCTTGGATGGCTTGATGATCAGAACTCGATTATAGGAAGATAAAAAGTTTGATAAGGAAGCAAATGTAAATTGCTGCAATTTGATGAACTCAGCCTTTGCTTATGGATGTAATCGCTTAAAATACCAACTGAGAAGGAAGGAGTCTTCACATCAAGGATCAAGCCTATCCCCTCTGTACACAGGGTTGATAGGAATGGGCAACTTAGACATTGGCTACCTAAAATGGCAGGGGTAGGGATGGGGGGTGGTAGGCATGAAGTGACTGGTTTACAAGTTTTCAAGAGGGAATTTCAGAGTAAGGACAGAAGGTAAAATCTCCACTGAATAGTTTTCATCTTGTCTAGATGGGTCTGGTGAAAGGAGATGGGGATAGGATTCTTTTGATTCAATAGTGAGGAATTGTTATCATGACAAATTGCAATTGTCACAACTGTAAAGGTAAAAGTTTTGTAACATAAAGCAGGGGAGTAGTAAATCTTACATCCTAGAAACAGATGACCTTAGGACTATGAGGAGGGAAGAGCATGAGCAGAACTAGAGAAGCAGCGACACCAGAGCTTGGAAGGTTAGCTGACCAGAACTCAACCTGATGAAGATAAACATTCTTGATGCTGTAAGTAAGTTTAAATCCCTGCAATTTGTTGGACTGAACTTTTGCTTATAGATGCAGTTGCTCAAAATTCCAGCTGGAATGGAAGAAATCTTCATATCAAGGAACAAGCTTGTTTCTTCAGTGTACTGAGTTGGTAGGAATGGGCACTTTAGACATTAGCTAGTGGTTATGAATCCGGCTACTAACCTCAAGGTCAGCCGTTCGAAACGACCAGCTGTTCCACGTGTGAAAGATGAGGCTTTCTGCTCCCATAAAAATTTACAGCCTCGGAAACCCTGTACAGGATCGCTATGAGTCAGAACCAACTCCACGGCACATCACCATCACCACCATAAAGACATGAAGTGGGTGGCTTACAAGCTTTCATAAGTGTGCGTGTTCCGTTTCAGAATGAGGGGGCTAAGATAGAAACTCCACTGACTAGTTTTCCTCTTTTCCAGATGGGTCTAGTGGAAGGGAATGGGAAATGATGATGATAGGATTTTATGATTCAATGGTGAGTAATTGTTAGCAGTATTGTGAATGTCACAGCTGTTATTGTAGAAGATATGTAACTAAAAGG